TTGAAAACTTCCTAAATATGTAAAGGAAAAAATTTCATTTTCTGTTGACAGATCGGAGAATAAGATGATGCTGTACGAACCTTTTCTCCAGTTCTACATATAACTGTTTGCAGTTTCTTATCCTCGCAACCACCATCGATCAAAACTAATGGTACTACATTGCACTTTATCAAATCGTCAAAAAAATCCGATACTCGTTGAGCATATTTATCGTAATCACCGCCAAAAACACAATTGCACTTGTACGAAATATATATTTGACAGCTAAATAACTAAATACGTATCACGTAGCTCGAAATATTCCAAATAACGATCTGAACGATTGTTTATGAAAGTTGTTAAACCCGGAATACCCATTTTGAAACCTATTTATTAATTTACACTTTTCTTAATGTTTCATATCACAAACTAAGTTCGTTATGCGTATATCAATATTAGTTATGCATTTATACATAGGTTACATGTAACAGGTACTCAAATTTTGTGTCATTCGTTATTTTATTTGAATCAAAAGTTTGTTAAATATTATACTTTGACTACTTGGATAAATCAAAGAAATACAAGAGCTGTGCATAATGTTTTTGCATTGATCTTTACGATATTACAAACCGGTATAATAAAAATAAAATTAGATAGTATACTGGTCTTGCATAATTAAGTGCATTGACGGGCGACAATACTAACGACGAATTTCCTTCCTATACATATAGGCAAATATACCATGTTCAGTTTTATTGCATAACTTGTTCCATAACAGAGATGTAAAGTGTCGCTGAATTGTTAAATATAAAAGTCGGTAACAAAACAGAGATGTAAAGTGTCTCTGAGTTGTTAAATATAAAAGTTGTTACAAAACAGAGATGTAAAGTGTCTGTGAGTTGTTAAATATAAAAGTTGTTACAAAACAGAGATGTAGTGTCTCTGAATTGTTAAATATAAAAGTTGTTACAAAACAGAGATGTAAAGTGTCTCTGAGTTGTTAAATATAAAAGTTGTTACAAAACAGAGATGTAAAGTGTCTGTGAGTTGTTAAATATAAAAGTTGTTACAAAACAGAGATGTAAAGTGTCTCTGAGTTGTTAAATATAAAAGTTGTTACAAAACAGAGATGTAAAGTGTCTCTGAGTTGTTAAATATAAAAGTTGTTCAGTTCATTGCATAAGTTGTTCCCACGAATGAGATTTTCTTGGTCTTTAAAAAGACCGGTTTTCTCCCTTGCCCGCTGCTCGTGAAACATCTTCTTGGCCGCCATCTTCGATTTTGATCGAATGTAAATCTTCAATTAAATTCTTCATCTCGATGCGGTCCGTCTTGCTTGGTGGTTGGGAGATAACTCCCGCGCGAGGGCCTCAGGGGGCTCTTATAACGTTTCAAGGTGGACGGACGATGGTCGCCCCCAGCGGACTGGCTGCTGATTGGCTCGTTGATTCTTTGGCTTGACTGCATAAAAGTGGACACAGCTGGGCAACTATTTTCAGTACTCCTGGAACCGCCGGGGGTACTGTCACGCGTTTTTGTTTTCTGTTTCAGATATCTTCTGCGATGCTGACCAGGAAGGAAGGATCACCCTTTGGTTTTGGTATAGATACAATTAATATTAATATAACTAATGAAAATATTGTGTTTTTCTGCATTTTTATGTATATAGGTATTTTCATATTTGGGTTCTTCGTTCATCTAGTTTTATCTATATTAATTACATCGTTGGGTTGATATTTTTCAATTTATTCTATTCTATCTTCGTCTCGCTTTCATCGTTGGTTTGTTCTTTTACGATTTATTTTGTTATTCGTCTTGCGCTTCGTTGGTTTTTTAATTTTCAAAATTAATCTATAATTCAAAGTACACATCGTTGGTTTCTTTTTTTTCGAATGATTCGTTTCGTTAATTTACTTCGTTGGATTGTTCCAATTCCTTATTTCAAACTAATTTGTTATTTAGGTTTTATTATTTGTCTACATGTACACATAACTACTAATTTTTATTTCAGTTTTTTACCAGATCAATTTCTAGGAGGAGGAGGAGATCAATAGATGACGTCGGATTCATCGGGATTTACACGTAAGCGATTAATTTTAAGGCGCAGCGCGAATGTAAAAATTAACGTCGAATTTTTCTTTTTCCTTCTTTTCCTTGTTTTTCCGATGTTTCCTATATTTCATTAATTCACATTAATTCTCAATTCCACCTACGACGTTAATTTTCAATTTACATTGTATATTATTTTATTTACTGCGTAGATTGCCAAGTAATGAATTAATTAATAGCTTATTTTCCAGTCTCGTTTCCCCGTTTCTAGCTCCGGTCACCGCTGCTTTGATGTAAAAAGCAAGTGATCGGCCGTTTAGATGGTTCGAAGGGTCGGTTGCCGTCCTCTGGTGAGACAATTCTAGGGAAAGAGTCATCGGCCGTAGAGGGGACCTGTTCCTGTCTGCGGTAGCCCCGACTCAGGATCTCTCTCCTGTGTAAGACGTCCCGGGTTGGGTCCTACGGGCTCCCAGCAGGGCGCGTTGGAGAAATGGGGAACCCGTGTCTGGTGCGTCGATTCTCCTCCCCTTCAATTGGACTTGCTAAGAGGTAACGAGCTGCCCCTTTTGACCCGCTATTCGGTACGGTGTCGCACCTCATGTTCCTACTGCACTGTGCAGCATTGTGTCGCGTTTCGTCGTGTCGCGTCTCCCACAATTTCGCTTCATCCTTTGTTTTAGAAAAGTAATTACTTGGCATCTTTTTTTTTGCGTAATCTAGTTTCTAAGTGTGTAAAAAGGAAGGTCGATCGAACTTTGTTCCATCGATCTCACTTTGGGTCTCCAATCGCAGCAACCTCCTCGTGGTGAGACCTGGTAATCGGTGTTACCTTTCAAGAAGAACTTCTTCATTATGGGTAACACCGAGCTAATGGCTGCGAATTTAAAACAATATAAATTTCAGTTTTAATCGAAATCAAAATCAAATGTTGTCTAATACTTTTTTCTAGGTACTACTTCTAGAAAAAATTTCAATGATATAAGTTTTACTATTGTAAAAGTTATGATCGTTTGAAAATTGACAATTTTTCTGAGCATTTTGTCACTTTACGACGTTAAGGAACAACTTTTCGAATATTCTTAGAATTTCTACATATTCTTCACCAAAATACGCGTTGTTTGCAATTTGAAACATTAAAATCCTCCAATCCGTTCAGAAGTTATAATGTTTTAAAAATGCAGAAATGTTCGCTTGAAATTTCATGCGTATGTTTAAAATATTTAGATGTATATTTAATTTTATGTTGTTGGAAGTTGCGCGTCAAGTGCTGACCTGGCGTAACATGTGGCTCGTGCGGTAGGATATGTCGGCTGTCCCCACCACTCCGTTAAACGCTAAAGAAGTTCGTCGTCACTATTGTCGATTTCGATGCATTAAATTACCACCAAATTTATTCATAAACGAACTTCCGTTTACGTTTAATTTAAAGATTTGAATCTATTAACAAATATTTCAAACCGTTATCCGGATGTACAAATAAATATCAAATTTTTGTTGATAATTTATATCAATTGCCTTCGATTATAAGCTTTTTCTTTCGTAAAGGAATAAAATTAATAGTATCGATTTTTTCGATTTAAATAAGGTTAGAAATGATAAATATATGCAGCATGACAATGTACTCGTTTCTTATTGAATTTACAAATTATTTTAATGAATAATGACAAAAATTTTCGATAATAAGTAGTAATGATGCATAGAAAAAGGAAAAATGACGATTAAATTTATATAAATTAGGTTCTATACATTGTGTTCATGGTTTTTACGCCGTGAATAGTCTGGTTATTAGATTCGGAGGTACATATCTTCGTCTGCACTAAAATATTCTGTATCATTATCGTCTGTATTTTGGTCGGACTTTGCTTTTTTCTTTGGACTTTGGTCTTTGTTTCTTACGGGGATTGATTTCATTTTAAAGATATGATGCAAACGAAGGCGTAATTGTATTTATATAACCTTCCATGTCGTACCGTGATTTAAAATTATTAGCTATATTGTACAATAGAGTACCATTGAATAAATTGGCCATTTCAATCTGTGGATAAAAATTTACACGGAAATACACGTTCTAAGGATACTCTGATCATGTTTTGACCATTGAAAAAATAGAAATTATTTTTATTATTCCTATGAATGAGCACATGTATATGTATGTATTTCAATTATATGATTTTGTTTATCACATGTACATTTCTCATTTTTCTGGCAAAGTATTTGGTCTCTTTGTAACACCACAATGAGATGCCTAAAATCTAAATATGTACGTTGAGAGGATCACGGAGGAAAATTTGAATTTTACATCAGGTTTCTTTCCGTACTTCCGTTCTTTATAATTCTATTAATACCACTGCCTAAATGTAATCGTTATACCTATATTATACCTATATTAAAATCTTCCAATCCGTTCAGAAGTTGAAATGTTTTAAAGATGCTGAAATGTTCTCTTGAAATTTCATGTGTATGTTTAAAACATTTAGAACTTCTGAACGGATTGGAGAATTTTAATGTTTCAAAATGCAAACAACGCGTATTTTTCACTAATATTTTTTATAGACGTAAATATAAAAATATGAACACTATAAAAACATAACATTAAATATAGATGATATTATTGACTGTATTACATTTAAAGTTTCTCAATTATTATTGAATGTATATAACTTTCATAAAATTGTGGAGTAAGACTGTTAATTGAAACTTCAAGCACTTCTTATTATGTACTTTATTTTATGAAGTTCTTTTCAAAATACATATAAATAAAAATAAATGCTTCCAAGTGATATTTAGAACATGCATCTATGTAGTTACATTTTGATTGTTATTTAACACTATAATTTGTATTTTCAATAAGAAAATAGGACAGTTAAAATTAATTTTAAACTTTTCATATGACACATTGTATATACCACTGTATTAGCAGCAAAAGAGCGCTTTCACGAGGATACAATAAATGAAAAATAATACAAGTCCGTTATCAAAATTTTATATGCAATATGTTTGAAAGCATTAAGAGAAGATTTATACCATTCCTATCTATTTTCAATACAATCGACTTTTAAACTTCTTTGTACAATGTAATAACATAATTCCTATATGTGTATTATCTAAATATTATCAATTATAAGCGTGGAATAGTAGAAACATGATTTATATCACCATTAAGCTCCCTTGTGCTGCTTTATTACTACAGAAATTAGTGGTTTTACAGAAATTTTAAGAAAATAGATGAGTGTTATGTTTATACATTACTGACGATTAAATTTGTATCTTAGTGCATGTACATACATTTGTATTCTAATGCAATCTTATTCTCTTTGTTTGGTTCATACTGTTCTACCTAAATTGACAATATCTTAAGTTGAATCAATACTTTCATGTCCTTCATTTTATAATTTCGATTTGATTGTTTTCCTCTCTTAATAAAAATGTTCATTTATTGATTAAACGCGATTTGAATATAAATTTTGATAAAAGATTTCATATAGAAATAAAATCAGATTCTTGATGACTAGAATATCTTTACACTTCATACATCCATTCTTTGTATACTTATATGCAATAATACATAATAAAGATCATAAAAGTTACATTAAAAGTAAAATTGGACTTTGGTTTGTAGCATCCTTTGCTGTTTTCTTTCTTAAAAAAAAAAAAAAAGAAAAAAAAAAAAGAGAGAGACAGTCAATGTTAAATACCTTTGTTAAATGCACAAGTTGTAAGTAGTGTAAATTCATTTTACCAATAATACGTATAAATTCAGAATTTTATTACTAATATAAATTTGTATTAATTCAATTCTGATTTTCGCTAAAGGTAACGTGCATGTAATGAGCCCGAATATTTCACATTAATTGCCATATTAATTTTTTTTTTGCTTTCATATAAACAAAATAACGATTACTTAACAGTGGGTACAGTGCATTGCAAATCTGTAACAGCTTAATTATGACGTATAAAAAAAAATTCATATATATGTTGCGTATTTTGAAATAGTAGAATAAAAATTTTATTTACATTGTAATACTGTCAAAAATTTATTAATATTAATCTTAAGAGTTAAATAGTATTTAAAAAAAGATTGTGCTTTGTCTTGCACTTACTTTTAATTGATCTATGTTTGATACATGTTATAATATGTAATCAGACTTTGGATTGTTGGCATTTTATAAAAATCTAAAAATTTGCTAAAAGTGTTTTTTTCTGTTTCAATGTACGTGTAACAAATAAATAACAGGATACAATACATATACACGGCAATACTTGTAAAATAAATGCACTACTTACAATAAATGCAAATTTGCATACAGTTATTATATTACAAAAGGTGGTACTGTTCACTTTATATAATAAATGTGTCATATTTATGTACGTATGTACATAATATAATAAATTCCTAGGCTTAAACCTGTCATAGAATAGCATTAATGTCTTCAGTTGTGCTCTTTGAAGTATCAAAGAAAAAATTGTCTTACACAGGAACTACAAATGTATTGTACGTCCTTAACTAAATGTTCAATTTATACGATATCTTGCAGCAGAAATGTCAGAAATAAATTTTCTGTGTAAAATTGTAGCAAATACAATAAAGTGTAAAGCTTACTGCAAACATCTCGCGACACACTCTATACTTCAATCACATGACTAATTGCTTTAATAGATTGTGTACATACTGAGATATTTTAAGAGGAATAAAAATCATATTATTTCATCGTCAAAATGCGCTTGATTGAAATTTAGAGCATGTTATTACTATGCTACAGTATGTACACTCAGCAAGCATTAATATGCCTCATTCATAATTCACTCTCGCTTATACTAAGAATTTTGCATTTTAAATATGATGATGACATATTTCTAATTCGTTTCAAAATTCATGTCGAGTACAAATACAAACAAAGTATGTTATATGTAATATTCGTTTTACAAATTTGAAAGTATATGGCACACATGTCCTATCGTTCTATATTCTATGCTTGTTTTCAAATATAAGAAAATATGTTCACGAGTGGAGGAATATTTGTTAATCATCATCACCACGCTATTTCTTTTTTTCATCGAGTCCTTTTATAAAGAGCATGTAATCAATCTCTATGAAAATAATGTTTTAATATGATAAATCAGTGTAAACGAAGTATGTTACAATACAATAGTAAGAATGAAAAATTCACAACATAAATAAGATGTAATCATAGATGCAAGTAATTTGATACATAAGAGAAAAATTATGTATTTGTTCTGTACAATGTACGTACTCATTATTCTAAAATATGTCGTATTCTTTCTTTTTTTTTTTTTATATATAATTGTGAAGATTTATATAAATTAATTTTACAAAAATAATAATAGTGGAAGATTAAAGATGTCATGGTATTCTTTAAAATAAATTGTGCTATGTTCTTCATTTTATAGGCATAATTTGCACCATATGTTTGTTACTGGTAATACATTTCCTTATACAATTCAATATATATTTTGATTATTACTTTTGCAATGCAGTCTCAGTTACTATGAAAAATAATTTAGGGCCTGTAATTGTTAATCAAATTGCACCAGTGCAACAATCTGTAAAACTGTATCTGTCACATGAAATTGCAGCAATTTGAAATACACGTTTAAATATTTTGTAATAAATTCCTTTTAAAATATTCTTACACAGTACATGATCGAAACAAAATAAATATTAACGTACATAATACACTATGGCGTGCCTGTATGACGTAGGTATAAGAAAATGTTCAAATTCTAGACAATAAAGTGTGGTGTATATATATAAAACTATTAAATTTGTTCAGAAAAAATGTACATATGTTTGCTGGTAGTATATCATACATAAACCTACTTTGTTTTCTATTACAATCGCAATATTTATATCAAATTTTAAGGTAAATATAAAACATTACCTATTACAAGACTTTTCAATTCCTTCAAATCCTTTTTTAACTTCACTAGTAAGGGAGTCTAATAAAATACAAACATATATTGTCTAGAATTGACGTAAAAAATGTTTGCATTATTAATTTGATTTTTTCGTTGCTATGGCACTGTATGTTTAAATAACCCTATAATGCTATTTTACATTTTATAAAAATTGTTAGTATATCGACTGTTACATCTATCATATGTGTGTACTAAAATGAACGATTTTACTATTATAAATATAAAAATTTTGAAGTCTGGCAGCTCTCAAGCACAAAATTCCAAGATTCTGTACTTTTAATTATACAGACATTATTGGCTTTGTTTCAGTATTATTAATTTGTAACATTGCATTACGAAGTAAAGGAATTCTATAATATAACAACAAAGTGAAAATTGTCATTTTATAAAAATAAAGAATAACCTGTTAATACGTATGTTCTCACGTTTTTGAGATATTTCCCCTCACATTGACTAGTACATTAATATATAAATTTATATTAGAAATGCTACAAACAGGACACATACAAATCTATAATAAATTTAGCCTGTTTCAATTTCAAAGGATAAAGTGGTCAAAAATTTGATTATACTTTCTCGTTGTGTAAGTTTTTTTTTAGTCCTATAGCACTGATTTTGCAGCTTATATTAAAATAAGAAAGCTGTAAATTGTACTTTATTTATCAACTAGTAAACTACAGCTGCCAGAAATGTTCATTAAAATGTATGGTCTGCTGCCTTCATTTCAAAACATTCATATTTTCTTTTATTTTATGACAAAATTAATTTCAGTCTGTCAGTTTATATATGGCTTTACCTACGTTGATTCATTCCTGACCGTTTATTGTTTATAACATAATGCATCTTCTCTGTCTGCGTTTTTGAGGTTCAGGTCTTAAAACAGCACGAACTGCTTCATCAAACACTTGTTTCAGACCACGTTGCGTCAGTGCAGAACACTCCATATATTTCACTGCACGGATCTACAGAATACATACAAAATTAATAGTATTGATTGTAAGGTTATAATAAAATTTTAAAATTAATCTTTCAATTACTTCCTTTAAGTAAATTTTGTTGCACTACTAGAAATTACACGGACCTTGTTCGCCAATTTTTGCCCTTGTTCACGTTTTATGGCACTAAGGCCCTGTTCAGCTAAGGCGGTAAGCGTTTCGCGATCGTCTCGTAAGTCTATTTTAGTCCCAACAAGTATCATAGGTGCATCAGGACAGTGATGTTTTATCTCCGGATACCATTTACTAGTAACATTTTCAAAAGACGATGGGCTTGTTACAGAGAAGCAAATGAGAAAGACATCGGTCTGTGGGTACGAGAGCGGACGAAGCCTGTCATAGTCTTCTTGACCTGCTGTATCCCAAAGCCCTAAACTAACAGGTATTCCATCCACGACCATGGGTGCTGAGTAATTGTCAAATCTGTACAGTACAATGGAAACTATATTCGCGTGGTCAAAAACTAAAGGAAGTTAAAATTAGAAGACATTTAAATATCATATTATATTCAACTATAGATATATATACTTATCAAATTTGTTTTAAACGAGATATGAAAATATTTTAACATTTATTTTATTTATATAGCCACATATCTGAATAAAGTCTTAAAAGAATTTACAGCACAAAGAATACTATAAAAATATGATGCAGAATAGATTATTTCTTTAAGTAGTGGAAAGGTGTTCGGTACTACTTTGCTATTATTAACCTTACACCTTGTTTTGTTACTCCAAAAAGATAAAAAAAAAAACCAAGCGATGAAAATTTTTTGCAACATTATCCTTAAAAATAAAAGTATTTTTCAAGTAATAATTTTCAATTAAATAACATATTTTATTTATGTCATGTTATTATTATTAATAACGTAAATATATTCTAATTCCTACAACAGTAGTACTTACACTGTGGGTACGTATTCTCCTGGAAAACTGTCTGTTGTATATGAAATTAACATACACGTTTTTCCTACTGTTCCATCCCCTACCACCACACACTTGATTGGTCTACCTGAACTCATGTTTTTAATACTGGAGTAACAAATAAATAACATTACTTTATCATTAAAATACTATATTTTGTTTTGAATATTATACAAGTGCTTCGCTTTTCTAATATTTCAAACGGGAGAAGACAATAAAAAATTAGTTCAAACGATGAACAATTACGAATAACATCGTGTATTTTGTTTGAAAGTGTGTCATTAGCGTATTTGAAGCACTTATAACTTAATAATTTGGTAAATAACGATTACCTTTATTTGACACCGAACAATCGTTGATTCTAATCCTATAGTCCGTAAAAACTGTAAGATGTGTTAGGTGAAGAAAAATATTTTTCATATAAAGTGTTACTGCCAAACTGTATTTTATATTAATGTACCACGTATTGTTAAGTCATGCAAATCTGTTAAGCAATTCGAAAGAATAGAACGATGCACGTTTCAAATTTGAAGGTTAGTCGTAAAAATATGCAGTTTCTAGTTTATCTGAAGGGCTTGCCCTTTGATTTTACTTTATTTGTTCGGGTATGAAATTGGTAAACAAGGATAATCGGTACCATTTGATCACTCACCAAATATGAACAAACGTTTGAATAGGAAAAAAATCACTATTTCAGCTCGAGTTTGGTTACGTGTATGTTAGACTTTCCTCAAAAAATTATAAAACCGGGTGCCATGATGGTATTGCGGTTTTTGGAACTAAAACGGACGTAGCTTTCGCTTGGTGACAGATGTTCGACAATCTTCTTCCTTCCCCTTCTACCTGGCACGATTATTATTCAGAAATGATGAATGGCGACATCTATCGAACAAGTATTTTTGATTAGACTAAAATTTCTTCACCATCGAAGATTTGATTTTTGATGTATCATACATACCTATATGTACATATGTACATATGTAGTGATATCAAACATATTTTACTCGCAAATAATCGATAACAATACATTTTGATATGTTGCAAATACAACAATGATACATACCTCGTTAGAGTATCGTTTTATATTATTACAGTTTTTTTTTATGATAAACGTTTCAAACATTAATATAGTAATTATAGTAATTTATAATTTATAATCTCTTGAAGAAACTTATATAATATCGTAATTAATTATTTTATAGAGTTACCAAACACAAATTTCTTTCTGGTTAATTGTCCCCCGAAAATTCCTAAAAAATTGTCATTATATGTGAATCAGCATTTAGCATTTGATTTGGTTGGTCATTGAAAATCAGAGCTAAGAAAAATACATGTTTCAAATAGTAAATAATTTACTTTCAAATTAATTCATGGCATAATTGAAATACAATGTCGTTGTGCTTATGATGATATGTCAATTTTACACATTACGCATTAACGAATTTACAATTACCAAAATACGTTTCGAAAAATTTCACAAATTTTCTTTATGTACATTGAAAATGATCGATTTAATTTCATCTAGAAATAACGTTTTCGTATGGAGTGCAGAAGGTAATGCTTTTTTTCCATTATTGTCTGAAATAATATAAATGGTACAATGAAAAAGTAAATATAAATCTGCAATAATGATTATTTCATATTTTTATCTTTCAGACTGGTTAAAACTTCGAAAAGATTACAGAATAGTTGGTGATTTAATAGGTTGCCTTCCAAAGAAACCTAGACAAGATATACTTTCAGGCCTTCCGTTGCTTCTACAACCAGAAGAAGTGTCTCTTTTACTTGAAAAAAACCTTGCACGACTCATTCGTTATCCATGTTTCCAAAAACCACCAACAGATTTGTTGAAACAAGTTTTTAAAGAATATAGAAACACATTGTACATAGAACAAGAAGAATGCTTAAGGAAAGAGAGAAAGAAACAGGTAAAATTTTAATTATGCGTTAAATAATTCTAACTCTTTAAAGATTATTTTTTGCTAAAATAATAAATATTGCTGTAGGTAATTGGAATGATGGACAAGATTATAGAAGGAAAGAAACGGAAGATACTCGGAATAGAAACAAGGAAAAAGAAAGTAAAGAAACCACTAGATGCAAATATACAAGAGGCTCTTAATAATATCGAGATAAACAAACAAGATTTATTAGAAGAAGAAATGGCAAAACTACCTAAACTAGAGAAGAGCGATGCTTTAGTTCAAACTCATACGGGTAAATTATATTAAGCGCCTCTTCTTTGTTTTTATTAAGGATTAGTCGGTTGGTATGGAATGATCTATATTTATTTCTACGACATTTATACTTATTTCTTAAAGAGATAATAATAAAATATTTTCAGTATATCCATGGCTAGATAATGTTGAAATAATCAAGTGGAAATACCCATCCAATTGCAGAGAACAATTGCGATACAAAACGTATAAAGATTTGTGGGAAAGGGGATATTATGTAACAAACGGTGGAAAATTTGGTGGAGATTTTTTAATATACCCTGGTGTGTAATATTTAATCTATCTACCTTTTACTATTTAAATATTATTTGAAAATTAGATAAATGGTAATGAAAGCAGGTAAAACAGAAAATGTAACAATTTATTCGTGTATATACATAATGTTTAACATTTGGAATACATGAATAAATTAATATTGTATAGGCGAATAATTCGTCTTTCGAGGTATGTAAATATTAAATTTTTACGATTAAAGAATTAAAATAAGACTTTAAAAATCAAGAACTGAATACCTATTATAAATTCACAAAAAGTAAAATTGAATACCCACACGGTCATTGAAATGTTAAAATAAATATTTTAATTGTCTATCATTTTTGCAGGAGATCCTATTATGTTTCACTCCCAATTTATAATTCAATGCAAAGACAGAAATGAAGAAATTCCAATAACTGAACTGTCAGCCCAATGTCGAATTGCATGCCATGTTCGAAAAGTACGTGTTTATGCATTTTTCTCTAATGATCAGAATAATATATTGTATCAATCATTTCAATGGGCAGAAAGTAATATACTCGAGAATGGATAATATATATATACTATTAACTTTATAAGGAAAATAAAATAAGAAATCGATTCCATTTTCCTATGTTTATACATTTATACTATTAATTCAATAATTCATAAAACATATAACCTTGACCATACTATTTTATCTACACAGTATCAATTAAAATAAATCTGTCATGCTGTGGTTCACTGATTACATTAAAATGTTTCTTGTATATAACACTATTTTCTCTACCCGCATAGTTCATTTTTGCCCAGGGATGAGTTAAACTGGGATTAATTTTTTCACACGTGATCATTACCGTTCCACGTTCCAAAGCATATAATGTACCATTTTTACCCATACCAACCTGTAAAGTATATAATAAGTCATAATAAACAAAGATACTTTTTAAAACATGATTTCTTTCTGTAAGTATGCATTTTAGGAAGCATAATTAAACTCACGTTAAGTCCTGGATGAAATCTAGGTCTAAGTTGTAAGGCCAATATTTGCCTTTCTTGAACATAGTGTCCATCTTGTACTTTTATCCCTCTATGTTTTGGTCTCGGATGACCAGGTTTAATTCTTGTACTACTACTGGCTTTCTTTGATGCATATCTAACGCACGCTGTTAAACACTTTTACATTAATTTTAATTGTACAAGAATTATACAAGTAAGGAATAATCTAGATGAATTTGAAGAATATATTACTATTTTTTACAAACCTAAATTATTGGTAGTAACGCTAATAAAGGGTTTCGTGTTTTGTAAACTGCTATTAATTAATTGCGTTATGATCATTTCTGAAATGCAATTATGTCTATTTTAAATACACTGTTCGTTCATTTAATCAAATATGTTATAACCTAAGATCATAAATACAAGACTCGTAATTTAAGAAAATGATACTTAAATTATATGTATACGACACTTATAATTAATCACAAGTTTATATAATAATATTTTCTACTTTATATTTACTATTATTCCGTTCGATTTATACTGATTTGTGCATCTATACTTGTCCCTTCGAAATAATTACTATGAAAACAACATGGCAACACGCGCGGGTCGGGATTATTCCTTAGTTCGGTTACGCCATCTATATTACTAGCGGTAATATTATCAATACTATGTACTAGTAAAAATGGAACGGCGTACTCGATGAAATTTTCATCACACAACTAGATGTGTTCATGTCTAACTTTATTTTATGAAACTTACTGTAAAAGAACATTTCTTATCTACAATTTTAAACTAATAAATTAACATTACCATCAATGAATAAATTAAAGTAATGACAATAAATAAACCAATTATAAATAATGCCAAACTTGTCCCTAAAAGGAAGTAACAAGGATAGGCGTCGCTGATCATCGTCATTATTATTATTATAAGTTACAGGCGGATCTCTTCGCGTGGAAAAATTTTGTCGACAACCGAAAAATTTTGATCGTTATTCAGTTGTAATTTATAAGAGAGAACAAATTTGTTAGAAAATGTCGACAGTAGCAAGTCCTTTAGCTGTTGGAGGTGTGCGACAGTCTGGAGCTCCTGTACGAACACGGAATGGTATATTGCGAAAATTTTGGTTATAATAGACATTAATTCAATACCACGATGTACACTTGAATTTTCATTATGGTTATTGCTCACATGCCTATGTATTAATTTAGCTTTTCCTAAACAATTTTCATGAAATATTGTTCGTACTTTTTGCACTTTGAAACGTGAAAATATCAATATATTAAATGATTTGAATCTATGAGAAAAAAAACGTGTATACGTGAATGAGAAATTATATTTTATGTATTGTTTTCAATTATTGTATATTCATTTTTGTTCTTTCTGTAGTTATGGCTGCTTGTGCGATTGCCAATATAGTAAAGAGTTCATTGGGTCCTGTTGGCTTGGACAAAATGCTGGTAGATGATATCGGTGTATGTATATATTTTTATGAATCATTTTGTTAGATATATTATTTAAATTGATTATATCATTTTTATATTTGAAATAATGTAGGATGTAACTGTTACCAATGATGGAGCAACTATTTTACGTTTGCTTGAAGTTGAACATCCAGCAGCCAGAGTCTTAGTTGAATTAGCTCAACTACAGGATGATGAAGTTGGAGATGGCACTACATCAGTTGTAAGTTTATATGTATATCTAACCTTTAATCCTTTTGATATGGTGAGCTTGGTCACGAATAGCGCTACCTACTTATATAAACGAGTCAAGACATGAACATATACTATTTCACCAATGACAGAGTGTAACGTCTGACTTTCTTGTGTCGTATAAAAATACCTGTATTCATAGCGTAAAGAAAACATGTGGAAGGAGCACAAACTTGCATTGTAATAATAATATACATGTATTAATATCTATGTTAATAATATGCAAAAAATTTTAATGGCTGACTATATTTACTGGTAGGATACAGCAAACATGGCAATGATGGGACAACCAGTCATCATTATTATCAAAAGGGTTAATTCCTATAAGAACATCGTTGTAAAAATTTTTAATTTGTTGCTCTTAAATCTGCACTTGAATTTAAAACATTTTTTCATTTCATAATATATATATAATCTTTTTTTCTTTCTTTTTTTTACATGTATTTCAGTAGTCATATTTATGAACTATATGTATATTTCTTTTGTGCGAAAAGTGAAAGTAAAATTTATTTAAACAGGTAATTATTGCGGCTGAATTACTGAAAAATGCAGATGAACTTGTGAAACAAAAGATTCACCCAACATCTGTAATTAGTGGTTACAGGCTAGCTTGCAAGTAAGTAATAATATAAGCACTAAGAAAGAAATTCGCATCCTTTTACCGTCACATATTTTCTATTGAAATAAAAAGCAATATAATTGTTTGTTAAATATATATTTATTGTTTGTGTTTCAGAGAAGCCTGTAAATATATTCAGGAACACTTAACAGTTAGCGTTGATGAGCTTGGACGAGATTGTTTAGTTAACGTGGCAAAAACTTCTATGTCTAGTAAAATTATTGGAGCGTATCCTTATTTCTATTTAACGATTATAAAATTGAAAAATTACGATTTCTACATTTTTGTTTTTGTTACTGCTATTATTGTTTCCTTAATGTATTTATTATTAGTGATACCGATTTCTTTGGAAATATGGTTGTGAATGCTGCTAATGCGATAAAGGTCAATGATGGAAAAGGAGGATTTTTATATCCCGTGAAAGCAGTAAATGTTTTAAAAGCTCATGGAAAGAGTGTCAGAGAATCTGTATTAGTGCATGGCTATGCACTAAATTGTACCGTAGCCTCTCAAGCAATGTCTAAAAGAATAGTAAATGCTAAAATTGCGTGTCTAGACTTTTCCTTGCAGAAAACAAAAATGAAATTGGGCGTTGAAGTGCTGATTACAGATCCAGAAAAACTTGAAGCAGTACGTCAGCGTGAAGCAGATATTACGAAAGAACGTATTCAGAAAATTCTTGCAGCAGGCACAAACGTTGTTCTTGTTTCTGGAGGAATTGATGATCTTTGTTTAAAGGTACACTCAAATAATGTTTCATTCTGGATTGAAAGAAATAAAAGCTTATATGGATCGTTCATTATGAAAGTGGTGTAAATCTATATTTATTCTTGTTTCAAGGTATAAAAGGTTTTATTACATTCACTTTTTTCCCCCAGTATTTCATAGAAGCTAAAGCAATGGCAGTTCGTAGATGCAAAAAGGCGGATCTGAAGAGAATTGCAAAAGCTACAGGAGCACAATTTCTGACTTCTCTGACTAACATGGAGGGTGACGAAAGTTTTGATTCTAGTTTTCTTGGAGAGGCTGCTGAAGTAGTACAAGAAACGATATGTGACGATGAACTTATTCTTATCAAGAAGTCTGTTTTAATTGCACTGTTATTACATATTGCAGAGTATTTAAAAATTGAAGAAAATTTTTAATTAAATTAATAATGTTATTTTTACTAGACCAAAAGCAAGAACAGCCAGTTCTCTTATTTTGCGCGGACCAAACGATCACTATTGCGATGAAATGGAACGATCCGTGCATGACGCACTGTGTGCAGTTAAACGAGTTTTAGAAAGCAAAAGTGTCGTGGCCGGCGGAGGTTGTGTCGAGGCAGCACTTTCAATATATTTAGAAAATTTCGCTACATCACTGGTAAGTTATTTTGATTATAATTTATTAAATTTATTTTAAGTTGTAGGAGTTGAGGAGTACTACTAAATATATGAAATATAATATATTTTATTAAGATCGTAACGATATATTTCTTATCATCAAAGAACTTATTAAATGATATTTTCTAATGATGCATTCATATTTTTTAGAGCTCCCGAGAACAATTGGCTATTGCTGAATTTGCAAGATCGTTGTTAGTTATACCTAAAACATTAGCTGTTAATGCGGCGCAAGATGCTACCGATCTTGTGGCCAAATTGCGAGCTTACCATAATTCCAGTCAAACAAAAGCAGATGTTGCGGATTTAAAATGGTAACGAAGTTTTTGGCATGTGCCACGTATTAAACTTTTTTTTACATATGCTTCAAAAGAAATAATTGAGAAATATATATCAATGTTTTTCCATAGGGTTGGTCTAGATTTATTTGAAGGTACTATTAAAGATAATAAGAAAGCTGGTGTATTAGAACCAGCTATTTCGAAAATAAAATCTTTAAAATTTGCTACGGAAGCAGCAATAACTATTCTTAGAATCGATGATATGATAAAACTGGATCCAGATCGTTCAAAAGATAAATCTTATCATGATGCAATGGAAGCTGGTGAACTGGAAGGATAAAATTAAATTGCATTTATATAATCATCTATCTTTTCATATGGTTCGTTATGGAGCAAAGATTTAAATTATTCTTAATTATGAACATTGTTTCATACTTTAGCGATAAAAGAAATATTACACTTTAAATAATTCACTCATTAATGTTAGTATATTACATTTGTATTACATTTTTTATGCTTCGTCTTAAAAATGAATTGGCTAATAACAAGTGAAATAAAGCTTTTACAAATGAAAATTGTTGATCACATTTTTTATATTCTTAAAAACAATATAAAAGTACGACAATGTATTTTTGAAATGATTTATTAACAATTTTGGAAACGATCACATTTGTCTTTAATATTTGTTAGGGAAAGTTTCTTAAAAGGGCAAAATATTTATAATATTAAACATATTTTTTTTTAAGTGCAGTATTTAGATACGCATTACAACACATGATCTTAGCAAACAGCACTTTATTAAGAATATTTATATTAAAATGATAACTTGATATTAATTTGGTGATATTTTCGAATAACGTCAATTTAATCATATATATGTATATAGTACAATCAAGTTCACGAAAAATATATATTAATAGGTAGAAATTAATCATAAATTAAATAATTCTAACACGTGACACTAGAAAACAAATATATTAACACAATGGGTAATGCGTCTGTCTTAGAAAAAGTAATTAATACATAAATAGTACCTTTAACACATGCATGCCATACACATCATACAAATAATTAAAAAAAAAAATTACTCAAAATTATTAATTATGAAGTGTTTCTGAATCAACTTGATAAATCTTGATATATAGTGCAGATAACAGTTTATTAATGGAAAATAATGGATTAACATTTTTAAGTATTATGTGATATGTACTTTAGGGTTCGAATTTTAAAAAGAATATTTCAGAAATTTGTTTATTTTATAAACAGATGTGTATTGATTAATGAATCATGAGGCTATTTACAATCAGGCATTTCAAAGTATGTTATAGCAGTCGATTTTGTTGATGACATGCCTTCAGAGGACAGGCATACGTGCGCAATGATAGCATATGTGTTTATTGTGCATGTATATTTACAATGCAATATGATAGCTCTTGAGAAATTTTTGACATGTCAGTTTGATAAAATATAGTACTTTTAAATACGATTCAACATTCCTGTATCCCATAAGATAGGCAGACATATATAACAATAAATTATTGAACATTTCTCGTGGTCAGACTAATTAAATTACTAACCGTAACACTATTTTCTGTTAGAAAATAGTATGGTCAAACAATTTTATCTTTTTACACGGTTAATAGACTTTTTTTGAGGTATGATAAAGAAATAATAAGAACAAAACAACACTCTTTGGAATGTTATTCATAATGCGAGTATAGATTAATAGTGGATCATAAATTTTCAGTGATTTATATGAAAAACTAATTATATAGATCATGTCAAGTGTACACAAAAATATATATATAGCATTTATATAAATCTGTAAAATAACTTAATCACACAGGTATACCTAAAGCATGACTGCAATACATAAAAGTATTATCCATAAAATGTTCTCTCGATTCTTCCATTAATAATTGTTCACAGTAGCAATTAATGTGTTAGTACCCTAATAAAAAAAAATTATTATATTGCGTATATAACTTTTCTTAGATTTGAAAATAAGATACATGAACTTCATACATAATCTCACTTTATAAAATTTTCAACATAATTTTGTCTTATTAAATTTCATAAATTATCTAATATAAGTTTATAGATAATTTTGGACCATCCTGCAATACATACTCAAGAAGTTATTTGTAAATAGTAAGATATAAAATATGTTTTGACTACATATTAATATATTATATACAAACCCTGTTCGGATCGATAATAAATTTAATGAAGACAATTGATCTTTTTGCCGAAGTAAAAAATTATGCATTTTTCAATAGCAAACATTTTTTGTACATGTAATTGAATCTTTTAGCGCGATGAAAATGCAGAAGGTCCAAAACAATTCTGCCTTGATTTTATACAAAACGTATACATTCCCGAATCACGTGTTAAAAACATGATTTACAAAATTCTTTTGCCTTATTAGCTACCCCAAGATTCTGACAATAGATTCATATATTATTTTACATGTACAATTTATCTATCAAAAGAATTTAGATAAATCGTTCCTTTTCTCTGTACGTCTCAAAATAACTACAATTCTTCTCTTTCTGCTTCTTTTTTTTTTTTGATCATTTTTAGTAGTAAACGTAAGGTGAGAAATACCTAATACTTTTATAACGCAGGATTCTCGAATTTTGATCCTTTGCCGACTATAATATCAGCATATGGATATTCTTGATGGAGCTCTAATACTTGAAACTTTTTAAGAACTAATAATGTATAGAATTTTTGTGCAACCTAAAAAAAAAGGAACAGTATTTTTAATTATATGCATAAATTACTCATACGTATTATATCACATGATTCTTTATAAACAACATGTTTTCGAAATACAAACCTGCTTGCGATTATTTTTGTATGCCATTTCCGCTAATGTCAATCTATCTTTGGTATCCAGTTTGCTCTTAATAACGTGATACATGTGCGCTGCTCTTTTATTAAGGACCCGTTCTTCGAACTGTTCATAAGTTTCATCTACTTGTTGTTCTTCTTGCTGCAAAGGGGAAAGAACGAAGCTGTTGTATACACTTTTCATTGTACCGATTACATTTTAATATAAGAAGATATCGGTATATTAATACGTACAGGTCCTACAGACGGAGGGAATTCGTAATCTTCGTGATTCCATGGAGTTGCCGGTCCTCTTTCGGATATAGCGGGTGTGTGGGGTGGTACAGGATGTTCATCGTATCCCAAGTACGGTACTTGAGGTTGTGCCTATTACGCGTATAATGATTGATTAATCGACAATATTCTTAAAAATTGAATCTTAAATCTTCAACAACTTTTTGTTTACATTACTAAATGACAGTGGTTAGCTGTTACTTGAACAATCAATCCACATAACAGTTTCACTTTCTATATGACTAATATACTAATATAATAGATAAATATAGATAATTAACCTGATCGTAGCCCATATTTTCCATTTGTGGCATTTCAGTAGATGGTACAGCACTAACAACTTCTGGTTCTGCTGGGGTAGGTGGAACTAGTTCTTCAGGCGCAACAAGGGTTTCGGTTGACGGAATTTCAGGTATTTGTGGGAAAATTAAAGGTGTATCAGGAACTGGAGCAATCATTTCTACTTCTTCAACAGGAGGTACAATACCACTAATTTCAGACACTGATGGTTCTGCTGGTAAAGATACTTCGGGTGGAACCGGTGATTCTGCAAGAGGAAGGCTTGGTTGGGAAACTATACTCGGAACTTCCACAGCTTCGGAAACAATGTCCATTGGAGGTGGAGGTGGTGCTGGTGCTGGAGGTGGTGGTCTTATCTATAATCAAGGATGCACGTTATAAATAATTACATATAAATTTATAATTGATGTGTATTAAAACATAAGTAAATAAAAAAAAAATGATACGTATTAAAATGTGCAACATACCTCTGCCTCTAAAGGTATCTTTCGTTTTCGAGCCATACGTTTATTTAAAATACTTTGTTCGTATGAATCTTGTTCTGCAGCTTCTCTCATTTGTTCTAAAGGCATACCTTCCTCTTCGCCCGCTAAACGTCCAAAGTCCTCGTGATCGTAGGATTTGCTTGTTAGATGTCGTTGATAGTTCTATTTTGAACACGTAAAATATTGGTCATTGTACAAATACTAATTTATTTACTTTCGCGGAAATAAAAATACACGCTTCGTATTTCACATTTCATAATTTACGATAGAAGCAATAAATATGTTAATTACCTTGAATAATACACGTGCCGGTATTGGTCTGCCTGGCAAAGCAAACAATTTCTCAACTCCACCCGTTTCTTTCCAATGCATTAATCTCTTTGTGGGAGGCGCTAGGTCCAATGTAGTTATAATGTCACTAGTGTCTGATAATTGTGCTTTCATTTCTTCGCCAGAAATATTCTTCACTTCATCAACAATGAGCTTGCGTTTACGTTTTGCTTTTGTGAATCCTGAAATTTACTTATCCATATTATTATTATGATTGTGGTAATACTTAATATTATAATTTTGATTAAGTAATATTGTAGTATTGCTAACCTTTTAAAGCAGATGTATCAACTGGCGCAAGAGCAAAACTCTCTTCTTCATCATGCAATAACGTAGTTTGGTCTTGTAAAGGTGGTGTTTCTTCGATAACCTCCATTGGACGTTCTTCGGGAATCATTGGTGGAGCAGGGGTAAATCGACGACTCGCTACACTTATTCTTCCTTCGATTTCTTCACCAGCTACAGCAGGAGAGGCAGGTCTGGACTCATCAGAACTATATAGGAAATGTAACAATAAACAATAATCCATACAAGGTCGTGAATAAAATAAATTACTTGTTTCATTATGGAACACCCCCATTTACTTGAATAATATACACAAATAACACTTCTCTAATATAATTATCAGTCTCTGAATTGTAAGATTTTTTATAAATTTAAAAATGATGAATACAGTAATAAAATAAAATAAACTTGCCTCATCCCTCCCATAGGAGATGGTGGCCCTCCAAATCGATCCCCCATTTCTTCTTCGGATTCATCGTGGACAGAAGGTGCAACTCCAGGAATTGCGCCTGGTTCTTGTGGTTCCGCTACTCCGCTAACTTCAGGTACAGGTACTTCACCCATTGGCGCTTCATCAAATAAACCACCCTCAAATAAGCCACCAGCTAAAGAGCACAATTATAAATAATTGTATAATAGATGATCCATAGTAAAATATACTTTATATGTTTTTCAATTAATATAACTATTTTTATACATATGTAAATTTATATTAGTTACATATGATATCTTGACCAAGATGTCCGCCAAAGCCATCATCTCTAATTGGCATGTCAATATCCATAGCTTGTGCTGTTACCGATGGACCTGGAACTGGCTCCTTCTCCTTTTGTTCTAAAGCTGCTTCTATCCCTGGCCCATCGGTGAACAACATATGAGTCTAAAAAGTGAAGGTAGAATTTATTCCTTAGAATTAAAGCTAATTTAGAAGAAAGATGAAACACACCTGATCTAAAGATGGTTCTACAGACCCAGCGTGTCTTAATAATTCTGGCGGTTCTGCATCAAAACTCATATCACCAAATCCTTGATCGTGAGTAACCAAAGCTAAACTGCCATAGTCCTCCCTCATTGTGATTTCTTCTGCTCGAGATTGGTTTAAACTAAATTGTGCTTCAATATCAACATCTCTGAAATAGAATAATTGCATTGAACTATTTATAATAGTGTTTATGTACATACAATAATATGTTAATTATTATTGGACTAATTTAATTTGAATATATTTACTTCAATTCAGGCATTGCTGTATCAAAGTCGTGAAACACTTCGGGCAATGTTATAGCTGTTACTGCGGCCTCTCTGTGTTCTTCTGGTAAATCTACCATACCTGGCCTAAAGGCCATTTTTATTTTCACAAAGGCTTCATTACAATCAGCTAACAGATATTTAGCTTTTCGCGAGTATATACGCACTACACCCAGCAATAAGTGTCCGGATGTTCTTAAAGCCATTTTTACCTACAATCATGAGTCACGATAAAAAATTAAATTAGAACTTACATCTCATATAAATAATAAATGCTTTTGAAACCTCCTGAATTGATAAAAGATTTTACTATAAATGTCTTATACGATAATAATAAACATAAGAAACATTTATTTAAAAAGGAAAAGTCAAAAGCCATTGAATTAGCGCGCATGAAATGTTATTTTTCTAAAATTTGAATTTTGATACGATACAAATTCTTATAATCCACGAATATTAAATTTTTAAAAAAGATTTTCAGTTTGTTGTTTATTAGCTTTTATTATCATTGTGAGTAAAATTAAAAAGAGAACCAAAAGAAATCGTAAACAAATTGGAATGAAGGAATTGCTGAAAATAATATATACTGTATTACATGGAAGATAATCTCGCAAATGAATATTTGATATTTCATAATATGTAATAAGCGGGACTGATACGATTTTGCTGATTAACACTTAAGAGAATGAGTTCGATTATTATACTAAAGTGACAAACAAAATTTATTCCTTACAGAAATCACTACTTGTGTCGAATAGTAAATTTTATACAATTGGAAACAAGTGGTACAACGGTTGAATAAAGAAGAATAGATAAAAACGTATGCTTAAATGTCTCAGATTTCGCCCAAACAGGGTGTTGGTCAATGAAAGACATCAAAAGATCATATGTATGAAAAATCATATAATTACTAGAAAAAAACATAACAAATTATTTGCAAACTACTTCAATTAAATGCACAATGTTGTAAAACAGCTACATGACTTTGAAGTTGAATTAAACAAAAATTGCGTACGTACCAGCCTAACATAAGAACAACATTGAAAATTTATAAAGTTTATAGATAAAAGTAAGAAATATACCTTTGGCTGTAATATACCATCTACAGACTTTTCGATGTTCGTCTCAAATACGTGGGCTTTTGTTAATTTTTTGTCCCAATGAGCGGCTAACCAAATACGGGCCAGTGGCCCTTTTTTGGCCAACACGAAGTGTGCGTAAAACATTATGAATTTGTGTTACGTACACTTCTGAAAAAAATATAATATCATATCAGTAAAATGCTTGATAACGTAAAGTTCACTGTTTGTAAACACAAATCTAAACATAAGGGTGAACAGAATGATTCGTTAACGCAATATCCCGTTAGCAACATGATTATCACCTTATAATGAAAAGCCTGGATGACGCGTTAATTAGTATATAAAGTTAGCACCTTTTTAACATTTATAAATACAGAAATCGAGTCGTGGGACTCGAATAAATAGCGATCATATAATCTTTTCCAATTTAGTAAAATGTCAACATCTCTGCACAAGATGGCGTTTCTGTCTGTAATTTTGGCGGTTACGCGTAAGCTGTTGAACACGAAGTATGTTTTATTTCTTTTTGCACGGGAGATGTTGCAATAGCGTGTCGTAAATGAAATCTACACCGCCACTCTTATATTTTATAAGAAGAATCACATTTAACTGTAATATTGTTGAATTGTTAACACGTACGTTTCTTTTCACCGCGTCTTCAGAACCATCTGCAACTATGTATTTCACCAAACGTTCAGAAACTCCCTCTATCAATGGCGGGTACTTACTTGCATTCATAAATCCACAAAATTTTGTCTCTCAAAATTGATAAGTTAAAATTAATACGGTTATATTAAATTTTCTGTATATAATATATTGCTAATATAAAAGTAAACAAATGAGAAACTTTCTTCTCTATTGTGGTTAAAAGTTGACGAACCGTCTTTTTGAAATGACATTTCAACATATCAGCTAAGTTAATGTTTCTTAGACAAGTGCTCGAGTATCGATATCATTATTTTTAAGTACTGAAAGGATAAAATTAATATTTAATAATTCCCTATAGAAATTCACGAATCTCTATAAATCTAAGTACCTATGGCCGGGGCCCCTTTTGAGGACCGTGGCGTGGACAGCGTGGATCGGTTCGAGGGTTTGGCCGCTAGAGGCGTTAGTTTACAGTTAAAAAGTCTGGTACAAGTACAAGTTAGAAGACAGGTTCATCGACAATCTCTATAATCTACGCTCATAGCAGCAGCTTGGACCCCTTGACGTGCAGTCGATGACATCGATATGTCAATACGTATGAAATACGAAAACTGGTAGAAAGTGTACGATGTCGTAGAAGTACGCGATATACACGGAAATTAATCGTAGTTACGATAGTGATTAGGTTATGAAAAAGTCGAGCAAATACTGGACAGGTGTGGGTAACATTTCAACAGTGTGTTTGTCCGAGGTGAAGAGGGACCGTGAGGACCTCGAAGACAGCCTTCCGACCTTTTACATGAAGGAACAGGATATTCCTGAATATCTGGAAGGCTGTGGTTTAACCACCTGTACAGCCGGCGACATGCCTGAAGACGTAGACGTTTTACGAGATAATAAGGAACAGACAAAAGAGAAAAAATTATCGTCCGCGTCCATAGCGGGTCCCGATACGAAGAAAACGGTAACAGTCAAGCATCCCGAATCAAATAAGCCAAAACCCACTACGAAAAAGGGGAAACCGATACAAGCCGATTTAGACGTTTCCAAGGAATTCACGAGATGCAGAGAGGAGTGCGTAAAACGACTGGATTTAAGTAAATCCAGTATCACTAATCTGCCCAGCACTGTGCGAGATTTGACGCATTTAGTTGAGTTTTATCTGTATGGTAACAAACTTGTAACTTTACCGCCTGAAATAGGTTGTCTCGCAAATTTGGAAACATTGGCTTTGAGCGAAAATTCCCTTACCAGTTTACCAAATACATTAGAGAATTTAAAATCTTTGAGGGTACTTGACCTGAGGCATAACAAGTTAAGCGAAATACCTGATGTTGTTTACAAGTTGACAAGCCTCACAACTTTGTTCTTGCGTTTTAATCGTGTCAGATATGTGAGCGATAATATGCGAAACTTGACAAATTTAACCATGTTAAGCTTGAGGGAGAACAAGATCAAAGAACTTCCAGCTGGTATTGGCAAATTGGTTAATTTGATAACATTCGACGTGTCTCATAATCATCTAGAGCATTTACCCGAAGAAATTGGGAATTGCATTCAATTGTCCACGCTTGACTTGCAACACAATGAGCTTTTAGATATTCCAGACACAATTGGAAATTTAGTCTCATTAACAAGATTAGGACTTAGATACAATAGATTAACCAATATTCCAAAATCATTGGCAAATTGTAAATTAATGGATGAATTCAGCGTCGAAGGAAATCAAGTGTCCCAGTTGCCAGATGGACTACTTGCGAGTCTCTCTGACTTAACAACAATCACATTGTCCAGGAATGCATTTACTGCTTATCCATCGGGGGGACCAGCCCAGTTTACAAATGTCCATTCTATAAATCTTGAACATAATAAAATAGATAAAATACCATATGGTATATTTTCTAGGGCAAAAAATCTAAGAAAATTAAATATGAAGGAAAATCAATTGACCGCTTTACCCTTGGATATTGGTACATGGATCAATATGGTTGAATTAAATTTGGGTACAAATCAACTTACAAAAATTCCAGATGATATTCAATACCTTCAAAGTTTAGAAATCTTAATACTTTCTAACAATTTGTTAAAACGTATTCCTGCCAGCATAGCAAACTTACATAAACTGAGAGTTTTGGATCTTGAAGAAAATAAAATTGAAACTCTACCTAATGAAATTGGATTTCTACGGGACTTGCAGAAGTTAATTTTACAGTCTAATCAGGTAACTTGTTTACCAAGAGCGATTGGTCATTTAACAAATTTGACATACTTAAGTGTAGGAGAAAATAATCTAAATTATTTACCTGTAGAGATTGGCACATTAGAAAATTTAGATTCGTTATATGTAAATGATAATGCAAACTTACACAATTTACCATTTGAATTGGCTCTGTGTACAAATCTCAGTATTATGTCAATTGAAAATTGCCCCCTTTCTAAAATCCCACCAGAAATAGTCGCAGGAGGCCCTTCTTTAGTGATTCAGTTTTTAAAAATGCAAGGACCTTATCGATCCATGTAACAAAATTAGGAAGTTGTCTCTTGTATGACATAGGTGTTGATTCTTAATACGAGCGATACAGAAACAAATGATATTTGATACAAATATTTATTAACTTAAATTCTCACCATAATGATCTCACATCAATAAAAATTATATGAATATTATCGATATACAATGTAGAGATGAAAATGTGCATATATTTATATTCTCATAAAATGAATAACATATGTTTGCAATACATCGTCAATGTCAAAGAAGAAACATATATTATACATAGATATACAGTGAAATTGGTGCTGAATTGGAAATATGCACAATGAGTAAACTACAAAAAAAATGGAATCATAAAAAAATATTTTAGATACAGTTGTAACATAAACCATACTGACATTTTATTATACATATATTATGTAGTTTACAACACTTTATTCGTTTTCTTTTCTTGTATATTATTTAATTATATAATAAAATGTAAGAATAACTAGTGTAATATATTTTAATTTGCATGCCATGTGCTTTATTACTATTTTAGTACGCATTATAATTATCTTGTAATTTCAAAAATTAATGCTTAGCGTTTAAAAATGCCATCACAGATACATTGAATTTACAGTTTTGTTATACACAGATACCTGAGAATACTATCCTTAGATATGTAATTATTATTTTGAAACCTATTAAGTGTAAAGGAATGAGATAACATTATTCGGTTAAAGAAAGTATCAAGTTAAGAATCGGCATCAATAAATTTACTTTTTAGTTATTGCTATTCATTGCCATATAAATAAAATAATTTCCTGACATACAATAATAAGTCGATACTCTATTATAGCATAAAGCTTGTGTGTTGTTAGTTTCTTCGTAACATGCCATCTTATCAGTTACAAAAAAAGAGTTTCATCTATAAAAATTTTTAGAAAAAGTTGCTCTTCCAAGATACTAAAGATATCTACTTATATAATTTAGCAAACTGTAATGAATGACATATTATTTTTTTATTTCTAAGACTAACTGTAAACAATTTTATATTTAAGCATCCCAAAAATGATTAAAATAATACATGTATCATGAAAAATACATAATTTTAATAGTAATTTTTACTTTTGCATCTGTTATGTAAGTTGCAATAATCAATGGCAATTATAATAACATGCATCTAAATGTATACTTCTATAAAACAGTGGAGATTCAATGGCACATGTGTTCTTTTAATCGATTAGTAAATTTTAAGTCTAACAGTTAGTGCAATTAAAATTTTTAATTAAATCATTAATGTGCTCTCATCGGATGAAAGAGCTGCCAAACATAAGCATACAATTATCTAGTATTAGCATCATATTGACAAGATTATCTTTTGCTAAGTTCCATAAATGGTAGTTTCTGGTGTAATTAAAATAATCTTTTTTATTATCAATGAATTTTTCTATTCATCATGCACAAATAAATAATGTCAATATCAATAATAAATAATTATAATATAGCTTATGTTTATATGTCAAAAGTTATGTTTTATGATCGATTATGCATAACTTCAAGTATGTGTATGCAGATTTTATATCAGACTTATGGTTATAATATTTCATCGATGGGTTTTATTTATAGCCGAGGACATATTGATTTCTTAAACATATTATACAATTTTACAAACATAGAACTCGTCAAATGATGTTTGCAGGCTATTATTTTTATTTACAACATAGCCACTCAATGATAAATATTTGTTTTATTACACTTTCTATTTATTATGCAATGGCTGTGTGTAATTGAAGCTTTAGGAGTTAACGCTATTTTACTTTCATTAATTGCAACGTTGAATAACATTACATTAATGTTTTGTACGTTTTACAAATTTACAAACATCTTTTATCTTTTAATTAGTATTATTTCTATGCATTGGACACACTGTATGTATTACAATTAACATAGATCATTAATATTAAAATATTTACTGTTTGAGTATAAGTTAATTGCACTAGTGTCTATGGATTCTTCACATTCTTCAAATTATTACACTTTAAACATAAAAAATGAAAAATTTGTTACTATCGAATGTATGTTGAAATTTTGAACTATAAAATGGAACTTAGCAAACTCTTAAGTATTTAATCAGAGAAACTATATCTATTCTATAATTACTCACTGATGTATGTAAATGTATGATTTGTTATGTGTCTCTAATTGCAGTTTTTCTATGTTAGTTATGTTCCTACAATCATACTATCATATATTGCATTTACATTAAACTTTATCTTTCACGTTTCTACAATTTGTCCATGAAATAATAAAGATCGATAATAACGTTGCACAAATAATGCTTCGCTTGATTTTGTGTTGAATTTTTTGTCCAAGTTATGTAATAAATTCCATGTTCAAAATCAAAACATAAATTTTACACAAGTCTACAAGGTATCCCATTAGAACCAGAAAATTGAAAAAAATAACTGGAACAAACTTTTTATTATACCGTATGCATACTGTGGAATCATTCGAACAATGTCCAAAATACTTTTTCGTATCATTGAAAATAAAAAACGTAATAGGATGTTCTGTTTCTGACATTAAAAATCATAACTATGTTAATGTTTAGAATTTATGTAATAATATTTGTTTTTGTGTTTCTTATTTGTAATTTCTAAAATTTGTTGCAATATTTACCATCATTACTAAAAATATATGTACAAAATATTGCAACTAAGGTAACATTTTAATTCTTTTATCAACAGCATATTGTATGTATGTTTAATTTGTTTTAAGGTATTAAGTAAGTTTCTGAATGTATGCAAGAGTTGCCAAAAGGAAAGCTACGATACAAATTGTTGTGATAAACTGTACAACAGTTGTAAAATGCATAAGTAATATATTATAATATGTTTGAAAGATAACTACATTTATATTAAAAAGTAAGAATAACTATTCTCAAAGTATATAATCTTGTTGAATAGTTTACCAAGTGCGATATATACATATAATTTCAAAATCATAATATTAATGTAATTCAATGTATATGACTAATTATATAGGGTACTGTATATTTCTAAATATATAAATATGCTATAAACATGTTTTGACTTCAATGCTATACTTTATTGGAATTTAATATCAAAGTAAATTTAGCAAATACTTTGTTACATACCAGTTTGTTATACTTTGTTAAAACCGTAATTACGTAATATTATATCTACATACATAGGGAAATGATCTTTAACAATATTTTTCATGTTTTCTACTCAATTCCCTGGAGTTTGTTGAAATTTCAGAGAAATGAGACTTTGTTTTTTCATGACAAATTTCCCAAATTGGATATTGTTTACATTGCAACACTGGAATTTAAAATATGTACAATATAATACTTATTCTTTGGATCAAATTCCATTTCAAAAGTATTACATACTGTTTTAGGTCTTTCAGTTATCGTGTTTAAAGACGTAACTTTTTTTTCAATTAATACGCCAGAATGAAAACAAGATTTTTTGATGAATTTTTTAGCATTTGTAAATCCTCCGGTAACATTACAAATATTTTGTGAACTTTTTGAAGTATTTATTAATCTAAAATTTATATATAACAATATAACTTATTTTGATTAAAGGCGATGCACACTATGTGCCAAATGAACTAGCAATCTGTTTATTTTTTTTTTTTAATTTATAATATAATAACGGTACCTGATAACGTTTAATATTTTTTCTGAAAATGATTTTAAATTATCTAAAATAAATGTAGCATTTTTTATATCGTGTAAAATATCTTGATTACGAATGGATGTTATTTCATTATTTATACTATGAATTTCATTTTCCAATTCTACAAGTACAATTTCTTTGTGTACGTTAATATTTTTTGTAAAGTTATATATGGCTGTATTGTATTTACAATCATGTGATGTAATTGTTTCCTTCGTATTATGATAATAATTGAAAAGATCGTTAAAATTATGTACCGAAGAAAAATTCCATACTTCATTACAAAATTGATCTTCTATAGCCCAAACGTTATAATTTACATTATCCTGTAAATATGAAGTTAAGATTTTTAAATTTATATCATTCGTATTTTATGTATTTTGTATAGTTTTACTAATGATCATTCGGCAATGACAAATTCGTAAAAATATTATACGTAAATGCAAATGCTATATTTGATACTTGAACTCTTTGATAGTTATTACTTTTTAATTTATTAAATATTTACCAATTTCTTGTATTCATCTCTTAGTACTATTTTTTTTCGTCGAAGTATATCATAATTTAAATTCAAAACATTTTTAATAACTTTTAATTCTATATTTTTATTAATATATTTTGTTAAATGTAAATCAGACAATCGACTTTTCTCACGATTTAAAGGGGTCATAACTTTTTAATATTTACGAAATGTATACATAACAATAATCAATCAAATATCCTTTTTTCTTTCGATTGCAATTATGGCTTTTAGTACATATACATATACATATACATATACATATACATATACATATACATATACATATACATATCCATATATATATATATATATATATATATACATGCATATAGAAAACGTAATTGTTAGTTAAAAATATCCATTTTTTCATACAGGACTAAATATAAGTACCTATAAAGTTTAATTTATATGCTAGAATAACAAAATCATTAATTTAGCTACATCTAAATTGAAAGAAATTCATATTCTTTTTTTACGTTTTGTAGTAGCAAATATGGCACCTGATTGGTGACTTGTATTAAAACGTATTCAACTGCCCTACCTAAATCTCTTAAAAGCAATTGCATTTATGCATGGCGCATCGAAGCTTAGTAGCGTTGAAAATTAACCTATTTTCGCATGTAAACAAACTGTATATAAAAGTTTTTTGTTTTTTAATATACGTTGTCGATGAATATGGTATAAAGTTCTAAAGTATTTATGATTACAAATACAAGATGAGCTCAAATGGTTTGAAAGTGTTAAAAAAGAAGTTAGTATATTATTTAAATACGTTTTTCGTAATTTATGCGTATATCAAACATATTGTTTATAATTCTGTTTCAATATTTATATCTAAATAATGAGAAATATTTAGATTATAATATGCATTGATTATTGATATTTTAACTGTTCTGAATCGTAATATCTTTAGCAATCCGTATCCACAAGGGATGCGATGTCAGAAATGCCTTGAACTGGGGCATTGGAGTTACGAATGTAAAGGGAAAAGAAAATATGTACATAGATATTCACGCACATCACAACTGAAGAAAGCTTTGAAAAACCAAAAAGATTCTACCGCGTAAGTCTGTAAAAAAATAATTGCCCGTGTAAACTTTAGCCTCTAATTTGCCATAATTTAAACAAGAATACATCTTTACAGCGATGAACAAAAGAAAGAAGTCAAAAAGAGTCTTTTGCAGAAAAAAATGAAGAGAAGAAAGAAGAGAAAGAAGAAAGACTCTAGTAGCTCCAGTGATTCTAGCGTTGAAAGTAGTAGTTCTAGTAGCAGTAATGACAGCAGCAGTAGTAGCTCATCTTCGGACAGTGAATCAGACTCTAGTGACAGTGTTTCCAGTAGTAGTAGCAGTAGTAGTAACACTAGTAATAGTACTAGTAGTAATTCTAACAATAAATAATACTTATGATATGTTTAAACATCATATTCTTCTGACTATGTTAAGTATTTTTTTTTAATTGGTAAAATAATAATTTTGTATCTTTACAGATATTGAATCTGAGAAAATTTAGATCAGGAACAAAAACTTATAACAGATACATTAATTTTATAAATATTTATGAAATACTTACTGATTTCTATGCTATAAATATATGTATAATAGTTATATTTGTACATAATTCAGATAGTTAACCGTTTGCAGTCTAAAGCTGGAATATTTCTGACAAAATAAAGGAAATATCTAAGCTGTGGGCAATAAAGGGTTGAGGTACTTATATGTAAAATATATTTCAAATAATAATTTGTATGATGTGTCTTTTAATTTTAATTATATTACGATAGTCGATACTGTTCGAGGCTTCTGGGTGTAAGCTGTGTCCTTTGAAGAAAGCATTTCGATGTTTCAACAGTATTACAGATAGTTTCTTTGGCGGTCAAATGATATATGTACTCGTGCAATATTTGACCCCTGAAAAAGCTTCCTGCGATGCTGGCAAAATGTTGGAACACTTCCTGTCGCTTCAACTGTCGGAAACCTAAGACATGAAAACCTCAAATATGGTATTATAATACCAATACATTCTAAATGTATTGACTTAGTTGCAATTGAACGAAAGGTGTAATGATTTTGTATCCAAAAATTTATTCATAAAATATGATTTATTATAAAATCAAAACTATAAAAATAATAGAAATAATAGGCTATATTTGTATTGTATTATTTTTAATGTTTCATTAGTCATCAATAGTTTCAGGAATTATTTGTATTATGACTTTCCTCTTTGAATCATAAACAAAGTTGTTTGTTTTAAAAATGTCGCTTTCATAAAATGGATGAAGATTGTATATATCGATTTGTTTAGCCTGGAAAAAAGAAATTTTAGTAAACTAATGTTTATAGATTTGTACCAGAGGATTTAAAATAAAACTATCGATACCCGATCTAGTAGATCTTTCTCGGCGATTTCGATCGTTGTAACGCGACTTCCATGTAAAGCTTTTTGGAATGCTAAAGTATCTAATGTAACTTGTCTAAGTATGTAATACAGAAGTTCATTATGATCTTTTTTATATGATAGATATTTCTGGAATGTCTACAAATAACAATAAGATATTATGTTATTGCTATTTTCGTAAAATTACTGCAGATATATTTGTAACCTAAATTAGGATATTTACCTGGCGCATGCTTTTCATTACCGAGTATTTTTGTGTTTCAACAAAACTATCGAGCATCATTCTTATGGCAAGATTAATATCACTTTCTTGAACATGGTCACGAAGATGAATTTTAGCACTTGCTTCAGCCATACGTATAATACTTTCTATATGTCGTACAGTAATTGGTAAACTTCCAGTGGCCTACTCATTGTTAAAATAAGAATTTGTATTACTACAGTACAGTAAGAAAGTTTATAGTTTGCATGTTTCTAACTCACCAAACTTTCTTGCCTTAACTGACTGTATAATTTTGCAACTTTATCTTGATCAATATTCGTTAATTTAGGATGAACATTTTGCCTTGCATAAACTATATATTTCTTTAAAAGGTCTTGTGGAATAGATATATCGCGAGTATCATCTTCTGTAAGCATTGCTTTTTCTGCACTTGCTGGATGATGTCTAATGTGAGAGTTGACAACAAATTTAGATAAATGTCGATCTTGCATGGGATCTATTTCATCTTTTACTACGCAAAGAATATCAAAACGAGACAAAATTGGTTCTGATAAATCTACCTGAATAGAAAAATTTGTATATGTATATTATTTATTGATAACAATTATGTGTAATTTCTTACATTTTCTGAAAATGTCATACTAGCATCATATCTTCCTCCAATGGGATTGGATGCAGCTATCACTGAACATCTAGCATGAAGCGATGTTACAATTCCTACTTTTGAAATAGAAATACTTTGTTGTTCCATGGCTTCATGAATGGATGTTCTATCTTGATCATTCATCTGGAAAGATAATAACAATCACATTCCGTTACAAAAATTTAATAGAAAAAGCATATTTACTTTATCAAACTCATCGATAAGACAGATTCCATGATCAGCAAGTACTAAAGCACCAGCTTCCAATGTCCATTCTCGAGTTGCTACGGATCTTCGTACAAAAGCAGTTAATCCAACAGCCGAAGCTCCTTGACCCGTAGTAAATACCGTTCTTGGTGCAACTTTTTCAACGTACTTTAAAAACTGAGACTTGGCTGTACCTGGATCTCCGCATATTAATACATTAATGTCTCCTCTTACTTTGTGTTTCTTACCTGGATATTTAATCGTAAAATCTCAGTCATATTGTATCGTTGAAAGTTGAAATACGTGATGAAAGTGGCAATTAGAAAATTTAAATACCAGGATTTTTTGATTCACCACCAAACATTGCTAATGCTAATGCTCTTTTTGTATATTCGTGTCCATAGATCGAAGGTGCAATACTTGCGACAATGCGATCAATAATTTGATGATCTTTACTCAAAGTAATAATACTGGAGATATCTTCCTCGGTTAAAGATTCAACAATTTCTTTTGAACCTTTCACTTGCAAATGATTAGCTAGGAGAACCGTTGCAAACACTGGGAAGCCCTAATTCATGAAATAAATAACAATTAATCAATTTAAAGTAGAGATATTTGAGGTTCACTTGTGTGCTCTTGATAAAGTGTCCTGACGTTTCACTAGTATTCGGGATAGTATAATCAGTGTACTATTTCGTTGATCGTTTAGTGAAACTTGAAAACGTTTTTACAAAACAAAAAAAAACACACACAGTTTGTAGAGAAAAGCTTCAAGCAACAACAATTAGAATATGAAGTTTTAAAATAATTGTAAATGGATATATGTTTACTTGTTCTGTGTTTAAAGAACCATCATAGTTATTCGTATAAATTGCAGTAACGTCTACTTCATCTCCAGGTTTACAGCGATCACAAAGATCTGACAGAAGAATACATTCTTTGCTTCGAGGTACTCTACCTGCAGGAATTTTACCTGGTGATTCTTGGATTGTAATCTTTTGATAATTTCTATATATTGTTTGTTCCATATTTATCTATAATCAGTTTTGATATAATTTTAATATACATACTTTTATGTACAGATAAAATGGTTTTAATTAAGCTTTACCATAAAAGGTCCAATACTTTGACATTCAGGACACGATCCAGGCTTAACTTCAGTACTTTGATTTTGTACAAAAGGTCCAAGTACATGTCCACATTTCATGCAATCATATTTTACAACAGATAATTGTGGTAGTACCCCTGTTGTTGCAGTAACGACTCCCAAAGTTCGTACTAATTGATTTAAATGTAACTTCCTAACATTTATGGTAAATTGTATCATTAATCCATTCAATATCAACCATTCTAATTAATCTATAGCTATGTTTTACCTAAACGTTCGTATTTCTTCTATTAAAGGTAGCTCTGATATTCTGACATGAATTTCAGTTGTAACTCTTTCGTAACTGGGGAAAATTGTTAACACTAGCTCTTTTGCCACTTCATCAAATATCTCTAACATTTGAAACGGTGCTTCTGGCAAAAAGTAAGCTAGAACGTGCTCTTTACTAGCAAGAATAGGAAATTCGACAACAAAGCTAGACTGTTAAAAAACAGAAATAAGTATTTTTCGAATCTAAACGTTACTATTCTATTCTAAATAATAATCGATAGCAGGAAATATATTACTTGGTTACTCTGACACATATGACGAATTCGTTCTTTGTACATGTATTGTCCATTTGAATTGGTATGTGTACGTAAAAAGCTTTTAAAACGGTTTGAAATTTCTGTTCGAGGTCCTAACATAGCTACCCATTCTTTAACCGAATGACCTTTCATATCTTCTAAATTTTCAATAGATTCGACCATCTAAAATGATATAATAAATGCTATTATACGTTAAATGATAAAACAAGAATCAGATAGCAATACTCACCTCTGTATCTTCAATTTCACCTGTCGCAGCTTTTTCAGCCATGCGTCTTGTACGGGCTTGTGTTTCTTCTTTGTCGCTTTCATCTTAAATGTGCAAAGACATATATGCTATAGTATATGTTAAAAAACATTAATTTTACTAAAAAAAAGACTGTACCATAAAGTAAATATCTATCATCTCTCATAATGCCTGCTGATCTATCTCTTTCCCGCATGGTAGCTTCTGCAGCTGCACGTTCTCCTTGAGACATTTCCGAGTATTGTTCATCGTCTACCACATCAGGATCATATCTATCTAAGGCTGGCATAGGACGATAATCGCTAGAAGATTACAATAACATCAGCACTAAATACGCTTAATGTCCTTATAGTTTAATAGCATCAAAAGTTTTACTCTTCCATATTATCGCCAAATAACTCTTCTCCCTCGCCTTCATCTTCTTCTCGATTAACATCATTATCATTACTAAGTAAATCAGATTCATCTTCGAATGGTTCATCTATATCTGGAGCAGGAGATGTCATTGCCTCTGTATGTCTATCAGAGCGTACTGGCGAACTACTAGCATCCTAAAGAATATGTAAAATAACGTAAAAATACGAAAACTTATAAAAAGATTGAAAGAAACAAAGAAGTTAAACTTTAATATGATATATTTCAATGTTATAGATTGTTCTGTACTTTTACATTTTAAATCTTACCATTATATTTATTTTAGGAGAAATTTTATAGAACAAAATGTAAATAAATCAAATACCAACAAATACGTAAACAGACTTATGAGCGCAGGAATATATTTTTTATTTATACTCCGCCTAAACCAAAAAAGAAATTGGCGCGAACTTGTCTTATACTTCGTTCAATGAAACGAAGCACTAGTGGAAATAAAACGTGCTTTCGGCAGAATCTTATTGGTTGCAGAGACGATGTCCTAGTCCGAGAGGAGCAGTGTGACCAGATTTGACATAATTTAGTGCATCGACGGCGACACTAGTAACGACGAACTTCCTTAGCTTTTAACAGAGTGGTGGGGAAAGCCGACATATCCTACCGCACGAGCCACATGTTACGTCAGGTCAGCACTTCGTGCATCTTCGGGAAATCGGTAAAGTCCTCGCGTCAATGGCATACAATTTCGAATCTCGATTGCCCCGACATTTTCACGTTTCAAGTTATATGGGCACAAATATATGTATAACCATAGTCCATATTGAATGAAAAATTGACACGTAAATACACGTTTCAAGACCCCACGATCATGTTTGACATGAAACAATACTTTGGAAATAAATCGTTTGAATATAGTTTATCAAGTAAGACTGTCGAAATTATTTTCAAACGATTTATTTCCTAATTGTTCTATTATTTCAAATAATAATTTTTTGATTTTATAGCAAAGAACATTTACTTAATATCAATTCAATGAATTCAATTTGTATTTGTATATTTTTCGCCTATACAGGCAAATATACCATGTTCAGTTTTATTACATAAGTTGTTCCAAAACAGAGATGTAAAAAGTCTCCGAGTTGTTAAATATAAAAGTTGTTCCAAAACAGAGATGTAAAAAGTCTCTGAGTTGTTAAATATAAAAGTTGTTCCAAAACAGAGATGTAAAAAGTCTCTGAGTTGTTAAATATAAAAGTTGTTCCAAAACAGAGATGTAAAAAGTCTCTGATTTGTTAAAAATAAAAGTTGTTCAGTTTATTTGTTCAGTCTAGTTGTTGTTCCCACAAATGAGATTTTCTTGGTCTTTAAAAAGACCGGTTTTGTCCCTTGGCCGCTGCTCGTGAAACATCTTCTTGACCGCCAACTTCGATTTTGATCGAATGTAAATCTTCAATTAAATTCTTCATCTCGATACGGTCCGTCTTGCTTGGGGGTTGAATACGAAGAATATTCGAAAAGTTGTTCCTTAACGTCGTACAGTGACAAAATGCTCAGAAAAATTGTCAATTTTCAAACGATCATAACTTTTACAATAGTAAAACTTATATCATTGAAATTTTTTCTAGAAGTAGTACCTAGAAAAAAGTATTAGACAACATTTGATTTTGATTTCGATTAAAACTGAAATTTATATTGTTTTAAATTCGCAGCCATTAGCTCGGTGTTACCCATAATGAAGAAGTTCTTCTTGAAAGGTAACACCGATTACCAGGTCTCACCACGAGGAGGTTGCTGCGATTGGAGACCCAAAGTGAGATCGATGGAACAAAGTTCGATCGACCTTCCTTTTTACACACTTAGAAACTAGATTACGCAAAAAAAAAGATGCCAAGTAATTACTTTTCTAAAACAAAGGAGGAAGCGAAATTGTGGGAGACGCGACACGACGAAACGCGACACAATACTGCACAGTGCAGTAGGAACATGAGGTGCGACACCGTACCGAATAGCGGGTCAAAAGGGGCAGCTCGTTACCTCTTAGCAAGTCCAATTGAAGGGGAGGAGAATCGACGCACCAGACACGGGTTCCCCATTTCTCCAACGCGCCCTGCTGGGAGCCCGTAGGACCCAACCCGAGACGTCTTACACAGGAGAGAGATCCTGAGTCGGGGCTACCGCAGACAGGAACAGGTCCCCTCTACGGCCGATGACTCTTTCCCTAGAATTGTCTCACCAGAGGACGGCAACCGACCCTTCGAACCATCTAAACGGCCGATCACTTGCTTTTTACATCAAAGCAGCGGTGACCGGAGCTAGAAACGGGGAAACGAGACTGGAAAATAAGCTATTAATTAATTCATTACTTGGCAATCTACGCAGTAAATAAAATAATATACAATGTAAATTGAAAATTAACGTCGTAGGTGGAATTGAGAATTAATGTGAATTAATGAAATATAGGAAACATCGGAAAAACAAGGAAAAGAAGGAAAAAGAAAAATTCGACGTTAATTTTTACATTCGCGCTGCGCCTTAAAATTAATCGCTTACGTGTAAATCCCGATGAATCCGACGTCATCTATTGATCTCCTCCTCCTCCTAGAAATTGATCTGGTAAAAAACTGAAATAAAAATTAGTAGTTATGTGTACATGTAGACAAATAATAAAACCTAAATAACAAATTAGTTTGAAATAAGGAATTGGAACAATCCAACGAAGTAAATTAACGAAACGAATCATTCGAAAAAAAAGAAACCAACGATGTGTACTTTGAATTATAGATTAATTTTGAAAATTAAAAAACCAACGAAGCGCAAGACGAATAACAAAATAAATCGTAAAAGAACAAACCAACGATGAAAGCGAGACGAAGATAGAATAGAATAAATTGAAAAATATCAACCCAACGATGTAATTAATATAGATAAAACTAGATGAACGAAGAACCCAAATATGAAAATACCTATATACATAAAAATGCAGAAAAACACAATATTTTCATTAGTTATATTAATATTAATTGTATCTATACCAAAACCAAAGGGTGATCCTTCCTTCCTGGTCAGCATCGCAGAAGATATCTGAAACAGAAAACAAAAACGCGTGACAGTACCCCCGGCGGTTCCAGGAGTACTGAAAATAGTTGCCCAGCTGTGTCCACTTTTATGCAGTCAAGCCAAAGAATCAACGAGCCAATCAGCAGCCAGTCCGCTGGGGGCGACCATCGTCCGTCCACCTTGAAACGTTATAAGAGCCCCCTGAGGCCCTCGCGCGGGAGTTATCTCCCAACCACCAAGCAAGACGGACCGCATCGAGATGAAGAATTTAATTGAAGATTTACATTCGATCAAAATCGAAGATGGCGGCCAAGAAGATGTTTCACGAGCAGCGGGCAAGGGAGAAAACCGGTCTTTTTAAAGACCAAGAAAATCTCATTCGTGGGAACAACTTATGCAATGAACTGAACAACTTTTATATTTAACAACTCAGAGACACTTTACATCTCTGTTTTGTAACAACTTTTATATTTAACAATTCAGAGACACTTTACATCTCTGTTTTGTAACAACTTTTATATTTAACAACTCACAGACACTTTACATCTCTGTTTTGTAACAACTTTTATATTTAACAACTCAGAGACACTTTACATCACTGTTTTGTAACAACTTTTATATTTAACAACTCAGAGACACTTTACATCTCTGTTTTGTTACCGACTTTTATATTTAACAATTCAGCGACACTTTACATCTCTGTTATGGAACAAGTTATGCAATAAAACTGAACATGGTATATTTGCCTATATGTATAGGAAGGAAATTCGTCGTTAGTATTGTCGCCCGTCAATGCACTTAATTATGCAAGATCAGTATACTATCTAATTTTATTTTTATTATACCGGTTTGTAATATCGTAAAGATCAATGCAAAAACATTATGCACAGCTCTTGTATTTCTTTGATTTATCCAAGTAGTCAAAGTATAATATTTAACAAACTTTTGGTTCAAATAAAATAACGAATGACACAAAATTTGAGTACCTGTTACATGTAACCTATGTATAAATGCATAACTAATATTGATATACGCATAACGAACTTAGTTTGTGATATGAAACATTAAGAAAAGTGTAAATTAATAAATAGGTTTCAAAATGGGTATTCCGGGTTTAACAACTTTCATAAACAATCGTTCAGATCGTTATTTGGAATAGTTCGAGCTACGTGATATGTATTTAGTTATTCAGCTGTCAAATATATAATTGGTACAAGTGCAATTGTGTTTTTGTCGGTGATTACGATAAATACGCTCAACGAGTATCGGATTTTTTTGACGATTTGATAAAGTGCAATGCAGTACCATTAGCTTTGATCGATTGTGGTTGCGAGGATAAGAAACTGCAAACAGTTATATCTAGATCTAGAGAAAAGGTTCGTACAGCATCATCTTATTCTCCGATCTGTCAACAGAAAATGAAATTTTTTCCTTTACATATTTAGGAAGTTTTCAAAGATGTTAGGAGAAAGAAGAATATTCGTCATGTGCAATGCTTATTCGAAGCTGATAATGCTATAGCTACCGTAGCAAGGATATTGAATTGTCCTGTATCGAGTTATAATTCAGATTTTTATGTGTTTGGGACATTGCACATACCGTTTGATACATTGGACAATTACACGGTGAAAAGTTCAACTGGAAATGGTTACACGAAACGTTGTAAAATTTATAAAGTTGAACACTTATTAAATTCTTATAGAGGTTTAAGTCAATCTACACTGCCATTAGCTGCAATATTACTAGGCAATGATTATGTAAAACGTGGTACATTTAGAAACTTCTTTCGTTATTTAAAGTTACGACGAATAACAAGAAAAAGGTATAGTAATCGACAGTATTGTATAGAAGCAACTTTACAATGGTTGAGCGGATTTTACATCTTGGACAAAGCAGTCATTGGAATACTATGTAGATCACCTAAAACCGTAAGACAAAAAATGGCTATACAAATGCATCTACAGAAATACTTGCTTACTTCCATTGGGGTTTTCACAGGAATATGCAGCTCGTGCCACAACACATTCCATAAACAGAATTTTTTAATTTGATGGAGATGTTAATAGTCTAATGTACATAGAAGAAACTGATAAAAATGGAGACTTTGAATCATCCGAAGAAGAAGAAGAAGAGGAAGAGAACGAAGTTGAAATATTAGACATGCTTAAAGGGGTCAGAATCTGCTACCAATAATGCACTAGCTAATGTACCTAATTTGTTTGTAGATGAATTTCTTATGGGCAATTATCCTGCATATTTTATGGACTTGTTGGTTCGACGTTTATATATTTGTCCTGTACAAATAGAGGATTATTCCTATCCATTGAACAATGTAATAAGTTTAAAAATTATTAGAGTTATATATGCATTTCTGCAATCAGGAATGAATAGAAGGAGAGGTTTCATGAAATACATGATTAGAGATTATAATAAAAAGCTTAAATGTTACGAACTAGAAGGCACTGACACTAAATTTTCTTCCCCATTACTGTCCCTATCTAATCTTAGAGAAGTACCATTAACGAGTCCAGGATTAAAAAATAATGTACAAACATGCGTCATTGATTTTTCATTACCATTTGAATTTAAATTCAAGTTATATAGACACAAATATATAAGCAAAGCCCATATTGAATGAAAAATTGACACGTAAATACACGTTTCAAGACCCTCTGATCATGTTTGATTTAAAACAATACTTTGGAAATAAATCGTTTGAATATAGTTTATCGAGTAAGACCTTCGAAATTATTTTCAAACGATTTATTTTCTAATTGTTCTACTATTTCAAATAATAATTTTTTGATCTTATAGCAAAGAACGTTTACTTAATATCAATTCAATAAATTCAATTTGTATTTGTATATTTTTCGCCTATACAGGCAAATATACCATGTTCAGTTTTATTACATAAGTTGTTCCAAAACAGAGATGTAAAAAGTCTCAGAGTTGTTAAATAGAAAAGTTGTTCCAAAACAGAGATGTAAAAAGTCTCCGAGTTGTTAAATATAAAAGTTGTTCAGTTTAGTGGTTCCCACAAATGAGATTTTCTTGGTCTTTAAAAAGACCGGTTTTGTCCTTTGGCCGCTGCTCGTGAACCATCATCTTTGGCCATCTTCGATTTTGATTGAATGGAAATCTTCAATTAAATTCTTCATCTCGATACGATCCGTCTTGCTTGGTGGTTGGGAGATAACTCGCCGATCAACGCCTCAGGGGGCTCTTATATACTAGGAGCCCGGACGCTCACGAGAGACCGAGCGACATCTGTGCAATTTCGATACACGAATTATTCACGAATTGTCCCCATACAAAAAGTTAAAGAATCATTATTTAAATAATGGAATACTTATACGTATATATAAAGCATTTCTACATATTCTCCATCGAAATACGCGTTGTTTGCAACTTGAAACATTAAGATCCTTCAATCCGTTCAAAAGTTCTAAATTTTTAAACATACGCATGAAATTTCAAACGAATATTTCTGCATCTTTAAAATATTATAACTTCTGAACGGATTGAAGGATCTTAATGTTTCAAGTTGCAAACAACGCGTATTTTGATGGAGAATATGTAGAAATTGAATATTGAACATCTCTGTTATGGAACAACTTTTATATTTAACAATTCACAGACACTTTACATCTCTGTTTTGTAACCACTTTTATTTAACATTCACAGACACTTTACATCTCTGTTTTGTAACACTTTTATTTTACAATCAGAGACACTTTACATCTCTGTTTTGTAACCACTTTTATATTTAACAATTCACAGACACTTTACATCTCTGTTATGGCACAAGTTATGCAATAAAACTGAACATGGTATACATATTTGCCTATATGTATAGGAAGGAAATTCGTCGTTAGTATTGTCGCCCGACAATGCACTTAATTATGCAAGATCAGTATACTATCTAATTTTATTTAATCAAAACTAATGGTACTACATTGCACTTTATCAAATCGTCAAAAAAATCCGATACTCGTTGAGCATATTTATCGTAATCACCGCCAAAAACACAATTGCACTTGTACGAAATATATATTTGACAGCTAAATAACTAAATACGTATCACGTAGCTCGAAATATTCCAAATAACGATCTGAACGATTGTTTATGAAAGTTGTTAAACCTGGAATACCCATTTTGAAACCTATTTATTAATTTACACTTTTCTTAATGTTTCATATCACAAACTAAATTCGTTATGCGCATATCAATATTAGTTATTATGCATTTATACATAGGTAGCATGTAACAGGTACTTACACAAATTTTGTGTCTTTCGTTGTTTTATTTGAATCAAAAGTTTGTTAAATATTATACTTTGACTACTTGGATAAATCAAAGAAATACAAGTGCCGTGCATAATGTTTTTGCATTGATCTTTACGATATTGCAAACCGGTATAATAAAAAATAAAATTAGATAATATACTAATCTTGCATAATTAAGAGCAGTGACGGGCGACAATACTAACGACGAATTTCCTTCCTATACATATAGGCAAATATGTATACCACGTTCAGTTTTACTGCATAACTTGTGCCATAACCGAGATGTAAAGTGTCTGTGAATTGTTAATTATAAAAGTGGTTACAAAACAGAGATGTAAAGTGTCTCTGAGTTGTTAAATATAAAAGTGGTTACAAAACAGAGATGTAAAGTGTCTGTGAATTGTTAAATATAAAAGTTGTTCCATAACAGAGATGTTCAATATTCAATTTCTACATATTCTCCATCAAAATTCGC